TGTCATTATCCTCCCTTGTATTTATCCATATGTTGTAGATATCCTAATCATTATAGGATTAGGATAATCATCCCCTTTATTTGTAGCAATCCTTATCTCCTAAGGAATATGCTTTATTCTCTTGTATGTATATATATATATGTAACCACGTGATTAATAATACTATGAGAGTTACAACCTTCTTTATTCTTTAACAGTTAGCTATTTTTGAGGGGTATTTAAAAAAAGAATTCAAAAAAACATATCAATTTATGAGTGTAGACAACATTATTATCAATTCGAAATATTTTAATAAAATTATTTGATTTTTTGTTTGTTGAGATGCCATCATGTACTCAATTATTTACCAAATATTTATATGATAAAATTATTAATGGAATGTGTAGTTGCATTTGTTAATACAGTCTGGCATATTTTACAAACTATGGCTCATATCAATTTTGACTATAAACAAAATTAACCTTTAGAAATTTACTAAGAACCACTCATTGGTTGGCCATATTACATCTTACTTTAATTAAAGATTGAGATACATTTAACAAAATGGAAACAAACAAAAGATTATAACCAAAATTAGATTCTAATCCTGGATATTATTTTTTTGAAAAATTTATTCTTTATAGTTATAATTTTGTTAATCATATTTGTGTAGATTTTTATCAATAATCTAAAAGACAGTATTATTAATATAAATGAGTAATAAATAGTTAAATAAAATATTTGTCAATTGATCCGATTTAATAGAATAGATACATATTTTAGCCAAAACCAACTGATAACCGAAAATTAAACTAGCCAAGGCCCAACTTATCATTGATTTCTTTACTGTTAGTACCATTGGGTCTAAAACACTCGAAAAGGCCCATTAAAAGCCCAAATACAAAACCCTAAACCCTTCGGTTCCCATATAAAACCACAAACTCCTTAACTCCCTTGGAAGAAGCGGCCCTAGTAAAATCTCAAAGAAATGGCGACGGGGCAGAAGAAGAACAGGAAGAAGAGAGGCCACGTCAGCGCGGGCCACGGACGTGTCGGAAAGCACAGAAAGCATCCCGGAGGTCGCGGAAACGCCGGAGGAATGCATCACCACCGTATCCTCTTCGACAAGTACCATCCAGGATACTTCGGTAAAGTAGGGATGAGATACTTCCACAAGCTACGCAACAAGTTTCACTGCCCTATTGTGAACCTCGACAGGCTTTGGTCGTTGGTTCCTGAGGAGTTGAAGGCGAAGGCGGGGAAGGATGGTAAGGTGCCGATGATTGATGTGACGCAGCATGGCTTTTTTAAGGTTTTGGGGAAAGGGAATTTGCCGGAGAATAGGCCTTTTGTTGTGAAGGCGAAGCTTATTTCGAAGACTGCTGAGAAGAAGATTAAGGAAGCTGGTGGTGCTGTTTTGCTGACTGCTTAAAGGGTTTTTTTAATTGTTGTCTTTTTTTTTTTTTGTTGGACTCAAAGTTAGTTTACTTTATTATGGATTTTTGGAATGAGACATCTTTTAATCAAATATTAGTGGATTATATTGATTTGTTGTTTGAATTTGGTATTGTTTAGAATGTTTTTATTCACTGTCATTTGGGTTTTGATTCGATTCATTAAGTTTGTAGTCTCATTTCTTGTTAGTGTTCCTAGCTTCTTGTTGTCTAATGATTGATTGATTGATTGGTTCTTGGTTCACTGTTAGCTTGTTTGCTATTCAATCTCTATTTATTTTATAAAAGTAATTTCGAACTTTCATAAAATGCAAGTGTGTTGGTTTTTTTGTAAATCTGAAGCTTAAATATTTCGTAATGTGTTTGAACAAAAAAAAAAAAAAAAAAAAAAATTCGTAATGTGATATTCATGTCTAGTAATAAAGTCTGATAACTTTGTTTTTGGGAGAGATTGTATTGGTTTCGCTTAGTTCATTTCATTTACATTTTCAGTTACGCATCAACATGGACTAGTACAGTGACCAATTTTTTTTTATCGCTTCAATAATTTCTTCGCCTTCCTCCTCATTTATTTATTCTAGCTTCTGCAAATGAGGCCTGATAAATCTTTTAGCAACCAAATCCTTCAAACTATACAAAATTGTGAATTGCTTGCCATTTATAGATCATTGAGAGAACACTGGTCTGCACAACCGTTACTCTCTAATCTCCATATCCTATTATGTAATCTTTGAAGTTGATGCAATCTAGTAACTAACAACCTTCTTCACTCATGCAACTGTCCCTCGCCACCACTTGTACCATATAAAACTTTGAAGTTGATGCAATCTATATTGTTTTTTGTGCTGCGCAAAGGAGTAAGTTGCTTTATCAGTTCTCTCCTTTCTCATCACCAGAGACCATTGATGGACTCGTAATACGATAGAGTGAGAGTCATTGAGATCACAAGTCCGAGGTTATCATATCAAATATTATTAAGATTTTCGCTTCTTCTTGGATGTTCATCTCCCAAGCTCATTTGACACGCTTACATGTGGCATATAACACAAATTTGCTTCGTCATATCATTAAGCTATTCACGTACAATATGTCTTACAATTTAATGTATGTACCGTACAGTCGCTTTGAAGCAAAATGCCAAACCATAATTGGCCATCCCAGTATGTTCATGCTGTAACCAAACCGTTAATTCTCTTATTATCCGAAATCGAAACCTTCATAGGGACTTAGAACTCACCAGATTGAAAGAGCAGCTACAGAGACTTGAGGATTCTTGAGGTAACTCCGTAAACAGAACAGCTCTGCTTCACAGACAGAATCATTGCTCTTCTTCTACTCTTTTTTCTTCGTTGATCTTCATGTTACTTGCTTCATACAACAAAACTACCTTCTGTTTTCCCGGTTTTGGCCTTTTGATATTGATAAGGTTTTCTAGTATGTCATGTTTGGGATAATCACATTGTTTAGTTAAAAATAGTTTGCAAGATGGCTTTCCTATCTATAAGATCTTATCAGTTTGCAATTGAAAATAGAAGAGACAGAGAAAGAGTTTATAGAAATAGAAGAGTACTACAGAGATTTAGCTTTTTAAAGAGTGTAGCAGAACACAGTAGTTGTTCCATCATCACATAACAGAAAGAAGAAGTAAGAAGTAATTACATTCTGGAATAACCAAATCCATTATCATACTGAGTCATGAACTCATCATTGAACTTCTTGAAACTATCCATGATCTCCGGCATCTCCTCTTCCGCAGGCAAGATCGTTGTCCTCAAATGAAACACACTGTCACAAAACAAAAACATCATCAATAAAAGCAAGAATAAAAAAGTCAAACCAGACAAAATTCTTTAGTTGTTGTTTGTTTGTTGTTTACCCTTCTTTCTGTCCAAATCCAGAGCCAGGCACAGTGGAGATTCCTGTGGCTTCTAAGAGCTTGAGACAATAGAAAACATCTGGCACTTTCCCTGCTTGCTTTGCAGCTTGGAGAGCTCCCGTTGGTAACCGTATTTGAGGAAACGAATACATTGCACCTAACATATATATACACACAAGAAACAATCAACAATAACAACAAGTAATGTCATGCTTCATTTATTATTTTCTTACCCTCTGTGAAATTGCAGACAACGTTCTTGCAGCTGTTGAAGCCATCAGTCATGATCTTTGCCCTTCTTCTCAAAGATTCAAGAATCCCCTTGCTAGAACAATGTAAATAATGATTCAGTCCACGGATGATGATCATGAGTGTTTAAGCTTTGTGTATATTACCTTTCACGGGCGAATTGGTCATATGAAATGTCTCCAGGCTTTGGAGGACTAACCATCAAGCCCATCTGCACCATTCATATCACTCTCAGAACATATAAGATGATTTTCAACAACAACAAAAAAAAAAAAGCAAATCCACATTACATTTAAGACTTTTTTTACTTACAAAGATCTGTGCAGAGACATTAGGGCTCAGAGCGATTGATGCAACCTTGTATATCTCTTCAACAACCTGCAAACTCAAGAAACCATATCATGCTTATGTTATGACGCATAACAGAAGTAACTTCAACCAGAGAGTCAAAGACAAACCTTGGGAGGGATGTTGGTCATCTCAAAGTATCCACCTCTCTGTCCACACTCTCCCCAATAACCTTTAGACACAGTGTGAAAAGCAACAAGCTGGACTTCCTTGCTGAACGGCAACCCCATATCCATCAAAACCTTTTTCCCTCAAGAATGTTACAATGTTAAAATGATTGATTCACAAAATCATGCACAAGTTAAAGTATTATAGCTGACCTTCTTGGAGCTGATAAAGGGACGCTCATCCTGGTATATGTTCTGCTGATAAACCTCATCTCCCAGAAGAACCAACTTCTCGTTGTAACAGAACCTCAATATCTCTTTTAAGTTAGCTTCGCTTAGACACTGACCAGTTGGGTTCCCAGGGTTAATGATCACCATTGCCCTTACCTGTATCCCCCATTCAAGACAATTCAGTAACTGGAGGAATAAAGACATGTGCTTCTAAGCTAGGAAGGAAAAAAAGAGTGCTCACTGATATCCCTTGAGAACGGGCCTGAGCAACGGACTGTCTGAGGTTGTTGACATCAAGTCCCCAGTTCTCAGACTCATCGAGATAGTAAGGAACCAGAGAACCACCTAAGAGTGATATGGTTGCTGAGTAGAGAGGATACTGTGGAACAGGAACTAGAATCTGCAAAAACGGTAAAGAAAAAAAACGACTTATAAACGGAATCATAGCAAATACAAAGACCTATGGAGTTGAGTCAGAGGCTTACCCCATCTCCCTCACCGCGAATAACACAGTTCAAGATTTGCATCACACCTTTGCTTGCTCCATCAGTGAGAAATATGAGTTCAGGGTCACTGTGATATGAACAAACGGTTACAACAAACATATCTCAGTTCCGTGAAAACCAAAGGGAAAGCAATCATCACCTTGGATACCCATCACGTCTTTGAATGAACTCTGCAACCTCTTTCCTAACTCCTGGAAGGCCTCTTGAGTCACTGTAAGCACCTGATAAGACCCCCACACACAGATAAAGGAAATAACTTTCTGATAGCCAGCTAAGTAATGAGTTTTGCTGAGATAATGAATGATACCTAATCCACCAGAAGTCAAGGAAAGATAATGCTTAGCTCTTGCAATAGCATCAGCTGGGAAAAGCATGCCAACATTCGGGTCATCAAGTAGAAACGGAGCTTGACAGAGCGCAACCACCTGCAAGTGATTAGCTGTTATTTTAAACATCTAGGCCCCAGTCATAGAGTGAAGTCTGATGGTCTAAGAATTAAATATATATAAACATACCTGACGAGGAAAAGTGAGAGGCTTCTGTCCTAAAGCATGAGGGTTCCCAACGTTTGTGAAAATGATCTGTTATGTAACACACAAACCCAAATTAATCAGTCCTAAACTAACTAAAGAGATAAAAGACAAAGATGTAGTAAAAGGACACAAGAGAGAGAATACCTTTTTGCCTTCTTTCTGAAGCTCAGAAGCTCGGAGATAGAGCTCTCCTCTGACAGCATACTGACACTTCTTCACGTTTTCATTCAGAAGATCGTACTCTAAAGCCATTTTCCTCTTCACACTACCTCACACCAAACCTTATCGAAACAAAAGAGAGGTTTTTGTGAGAATCCCACATCAGCAATTCGAACCAGAAACTCAAAATTCTACAGAACTGATTCGTAATCATCGAAAACAACATAAGAGTACATAGAAAGGCGACACCTTTTCAAATGGGTATTGAAAAACAAGAAGAAACTGATCCAAACAAGACCACATACCTTCAAAAACTCGATCTTGTGAGACCCTATGGATGGTCAGTCACGTTCGAGAGCCAACGCAAGAGGAGTTGGTGAGAGCACTATTGTATTAAACTCTATAAAGTGTGTGACTTTAAAAAAAAACGAATAAAATATTGCCTTGTGAAGCAGATTACAAATGTGTGTCTGACATAGATTTGGATCACTCTCTCAATCCAATAATGTGTCATCCTAACGAAGGTTGCAGCATATCCACTGAAACGGACGGACACGATTTATCAGATAAAAAGTCGTTATGTTGACATGAGTCGTTATATTGGTAGAGAATAAAAATGTGGCGGAGATTACAGATGGAGAGATTGAAAGTTTTTGTCTTGGTATCTATTAACTTCTTCCTTCAGACAAGTTCTACTTTCGGTTTCACTACCAATAGGGTAGAGCCACGTCTCCTTTTATCTTTTTGTTTCTTCCTCTTTTAGACGCAAGTTTGTGTGTTTCTTCCTGTTTTCTTGACTCCTCAACACTCTCAAAGGCTTAAAAGCTTGTCTGTCTTCAAAATTCAACACAGTAATAATGTTTTTACATAAGGTTTTAAGTGTAAGTGGGAACAGCCTTACAGTACCATCATAGTGATCTCTTTGTGTCATTTTATAATGTTTTGTCTCACTAATCAGATCTATAAGTTTACTTAACTTGCGTCAAACTATAATTCATATTGTGTGTGAGTTAGCTCTTTCATCTTTTCCCTAAGATCTCTTTTTAAGTTCAGAAGCTTCTTTTGGAAAGCGCAGCAAGTTGTAGTAATCTGCTTGCAAAGGTTGTGTTGTAACAAAACAAAGCTATTACACATTTTGTTTATGAACCATGATGATGAAACAGTTAAGCAAACCATTACATCAAACTTTAGCTTTAAGGTTTCTGTTGTAACAAACTTTGTCCCTCTCTATTCTTCTTTGTCTCCACCTAGCTTCCTTTTGAGCTTTGTTAGGCAATGTCTGAGGTCTCTGCCTGAATACATGTTTCCTGCACCGCTCAAATATATTGTCGTATATCAAATCAAACTCCACACCTGCTCTCTCTCTGTTCAAAATGAACATCATATGATCCGCCTCCACTATCTTATAGTACCTGAAAATACACATTCAAGAAAACACTTTTATTATCATTAAATCTTTAAGAAGACTATCATCATCCAAAGAGAACTAACCAAATGCCTGGCTGTAACGGGAGACAATCTGAATCACTACAAACAACGAGATTAGAATGTTCAACAGGAATCCGTGGATGAGTCATAGATATAGTGTTCAATGCTCCATCATTATCCTGCCAATCTTCATCTCTGCATTATAACTCCACAATCAGAGACTTTGTATAAATTGTATAGTCTTAGTTTATATTTTTAAACCTGTAGCCCTTATAAGGCAGAGGGATATCACGAGGGTAACACCACTGACTCATCTGCAAGACTCTTATGGAAAGCAGAGGATGTATACTCATTACACCAATAGGTTTATTAGTACGCTTAGTAGCGTAGCTGAAGTAGAAAGTGTTTGGGAAAGTCTTGAGATTAGCGTTGAGTTTCATTGTTTCTTGGATTGAGAGGTCAGGCAAGATCCAGTCTCCGGATGATGATGCAAAAGGGCCTGCGTTTCCGAGAAGGCAATCCACAAGGCCAAGTAAACCTGTCTTCTTCCAGGACATGTTGAAATGGTCGAAACCGAAGTTGTAATAGGATTTGAGCCAGGAGATGTCTAGCCAGTCGTAGATTATAGCTCCAAGTTTGCAGATCTGGAGTAGACAAATGGGTTTGAGTGACTTCCCATCCTCTGGCCTGACATTGTTATATACATTTTTGATTATAAACTCCAAGACTCTTAGCTAAGAGATGACAAGAAGATAGAGAAGAGAGTAAACTCACTGAATCCCATCGAGGTAGGTTCGTGTACTTCCGTTTAATGCTCCTGACAAGGATGTTAAACTCAAAACCCAGTTCTCATTTGTGTTCTCATGACCATCAAACATCTGAAAATAACAACATAAACACAAGCTATTCAAATTTCAAACAACACAACAGAACCAAACCATCTTTATTGTGTTTAATGTTTACCTTGTCAGCGAGCATTTGCTGCAAGACACGAACAACTTGAGCACCAGCAGAGTGGCCAACAAAATGAATAGGATGATCTTCATCCCATTCTTGATACTCCCCTAAAGAGCACAGATACATCAGCACAAGGATTGAAACTAAAAGCTACTCAAAAACAAAAAAAAACACACAAAGACAAAACCTTTATCATAAAAGCGACCAAACTGAGAATGCCCACAAGCTTTGCTATGATCTTCACCGTAATCAACTCGTCCACCTTTCAAGTAATAAAACAACTCTCTCGCCCTATTTTTTTAAAAAAAGTCAGTAACTTCTCACTCTCAGACTATATATCATAAGAAAAGATTGAAACTTTATCACTTAACCTATCGTGTACACTCGTTAAAGAACCCAAGTCAGGCACTAACACTCTCTCATCCTTCTTCTCAGCACCAGCAAAGTATGATAAACCACCTAACCTCTGCAAAATACAAAATATTAACAACTTGTGCATTAAGAGAGAAGGTAAATGTTAACACTGACTTACTCCTTTGCCAAAACCGAAAATGCCATGGACTAAAACAATGGGAGTCAAGTCATTGACTTGTGTTGTTGTGTTCCCTTGTTTGACTTCAATGGTGGGTTTGGGTTTGAAGATTGACTCAAGAAACGTCTGAGTGAGATCTCCAGCGATGGCTGAGCTGAACAGGTAAAGCCCGAATAGAATATGAACTACGGAGCTTACTAAAAGCTCTACTAGTTGAAGAGCTGACGTAAGCAACCATGGAACCATCTTTCTTTAAGGGATCTTTCGTCTCTTTGGACGATACCCACTTATAAAAATTTGATCTTTCGGATATTCCTAGAAAGTTTATCTTCTGTTATTTCAAGTAGCGTGTGAAAAGAAAAGGGGAAATGCTGTGTCAAGAGAAGAGGCTCTATGTTTGACAGTGAAACAAGATGACAAAAAAAAACCTAATGAATGTATGTATGAACTAAGAGAAGTTTTCTACTTCTCCTCTCGTTAATTTGCTTTCTAGAAGTGTGTGGAAAAACGAGCTCTGTGTTTTCTTTTTCTCTGGCTAACGTCCAATGAAAAACTCGCACTTCATTCCAAAGAAGAAGAACGGTATGTGTTTCGGGGTTGATGGCTCCTTTCTCTGTGGACGCCACGTGGGTATTCTGGTAATAGAGTGGGTCCCGGTGATAAATTGGTCAACAATCTGACATAATACTATAAGATTTGTTTCTGAATTTTCTTTGAAATTTCAAATATCTAGACTTGTCACAAGCAAGAGTTAATCCATTACTTAAACCATTTCTAATGATGTTTCATTTTTGACTTTTTGATCTATTTTGTACTAGTTTTCTCGTTCTTACTTTAAAATGAGGAAATGAACAGATTATCTACAAATTTAAAGATATATCGTTTATAATATCTTTATATTTTAAAGGTGATTTTTTTAATTATAAATTAGTTTTTAACTTTTACATATTCTTATATTTTACCAAAATAATTATACACATTACTATTACCTAATTAATTTAAAAGGTTCAATTATTATTTTCATCTGACTGAATATTTATAACAAAAATCATGGAACTGTTTTTTTTTGACAACAATCATGGAACTGTTTACTTCTAAAAACATTTAGTTCAATTAAAAAGAATCAAAAATAAACTTACTTTCTGATTCATATTACTTTTGTTAATTATATATATATATTTGATGGTTTTTATAAAAATATGATGTTTTATGGTTTTTTTTTTGAATTAAGTGCTTTCAAATTAAAACATAAACGATCACAGGTGAAGACC